CACTCTCAGTTGAAGCAAAATTATAACATTCAATGATTCTCAATGTATGTAGAGAAATATTTAAGACATATAAATGGGACACAATAAAGGAACATGAAGGTAAGGTTCTACATCTTAATGAAAGTGCTACGGATTGTGTTAGACTGTGTAGACTGTGATATATGCATATATATTTATCTATATAAAGATATCTGATATCTATATTATTTATATGAAGAAAACTAGAACATATATGAACATATACATAACTTTATATGTATAAAGGTTTTATGAAGAAAAGATCTATTTTGCTATAAATTATAATCCATCAATTAGGTCATGATGTAGAATATTATGACCTTCATTTTTATCCCACAGCATCATAAACAGTATCAAAAAATAAATTCCAGTTTGATCATAAAACCTAATTAAAAGTTAAAAAAATAAGATTTGTGTGGAATCAGAAAAGACCCCGAATAGCCAGGGGAATTTTAAGAAAGAAAACCATATCTGGGGCATCACAATGCCAGATTTCAGGTTGTACTACAAAGCTGTGGTCATCAAGACACTGTGGTACTGGCACAAAAACAGACACATAGATCAATGGAACAGAATAGAGAACCCAGAAGTGGACCCTGAACTTTATGGTCAACTAATATTCGATAAAGGAGGAAAGACGATCCACTGGAAGAAAGACAGTCTCTTCAATAAATGGTGCTGGGAAAATTGGACATCCACATGCAGAAGAATGAAACTAGACCACTCTCTTGCACCATACACAAAGATAAACTCCAAATGGATGAAAGATCTAAATGTGAGACAAGATTCCATCAAAATCCTAGAGGAGAACACAGGCAACACCCTTTTTGAGTTTGGCCACAGTAACTTCTTGCAAGATACATCCACGAAGGCAAAAGAAACAAAAGCAAAAACGAACTATTGGGTTTTCATCAAGATAAGAAGCTTTTGCACAGCAAAGGATACAGTCAACAAAACTCAAAGACAACCTACAGAATGGGAGAAGATATTTGCAAATGACGTATCAGATAAAGGGCTAGTTTCCAAAATCTATAAAGAACTTATTAAACTCAACAGCAAAGAAACAAACAATCCAATCATGAAATGGGCAAAAGACATGAAGAGAAATCTCACAGAGGAAGACATAGACATGGCCAACATGCACATGAGAAAATGCTCTGCATCACTTGCCATCAGGGAAATACAAATCAAAACCACAATGAGATACCACCTCACACCAGTGAGAATGGGGAAAATTAACAAGGCAGGAAACAACAAATGTTGGAGAGGATGCGGAGAAAAGGGAACCCTCTTGCGCTGTTGGTGGGAATGTGAACTGGTGCAGCCACTCTGGAAAACTATGTGGAGGTTCCTCAAAGAGTTAAAAATAGACCTGCCCTACGACCCAGCAATTGCACTGTTAGGGATTTACTCCAAAGATTCAGATGCAATGAAACACCGGGACACCTGCACCCCGATGTTTCTAGCAGCAATGTCCACAATAGCCAAACTGTGGAAGGAGCCTCGGTGTCCATCGAAAGATGAATGGATAAAGAAGATGTGGTCTATGTATACAATGGAATATTACTCAGCCATTAGAAACGACAAATACTCACCATTTGCTTCAATGTGGATGGAACTGGAGGGTATTATGCTGAGTGAAGTAAGTCAATCGGAGAAGGACAAACACTGTATGTTCTCATTCATTTGGGGAATATAAATAATAGTGAAAGGGAATATAAGGGAAGGGAGAAGAAATGTGTGGGAAATATCAGAAAGGGAGACAGAACATAAAGACTCCTAACTCTGGGAAACGAACTAGGGGTGGTGGAAGGGGAGGAGGGCGGGGGTTGGGGGTGAAGGGGTGACGGGCACTGAGGGGGGCAATTGAGGGGATGAGCACTGGGTGTTATTCTGTATGTTGGCAAATTGAACACCAATAAAAAATTAATTTATTTTAAAAAAAGTTAAAAAATAAAGAGAGAAATGAAAAGATGACTCCAGGAAGGTAATACAGGAAATTATATTCATGAATTTTGGTGAACCTCTGAAACAGACCCAAAATAATCACCAACACACAAATGGGATTAATTGGACCATGGCAACATTCAAATTCTGATCATTAAAAGACTCCAGTCGGGGAATAAAATGCAAGCCACAGCCATTTCCAACTAGTAAACGGAAAATCACTCATATCTAAAATATGACAAGGGCTTGGGATGTGTGGGTGGCTCACTTGGTTAAATGGTCGGCCTTTGGCTCAGGTCATGATGGCAGGGTCCTGGGACGGAGCTCTGCCTGGAGTTCTCAGGCTCCCTGCTCAGCCAGGAGCCTGCACTAATCACTCCTTCTGCTGCTGCTCCCCCTGTTCATGTTCAAGCTCTCTCTGTGTTTTTCTGGCAAATAAATAAATAAAATCTTTGAAAAATATAAGACAAGGTCTTCTAAGATGCGAAAAGAAGACACTATCTTAGAGAAATGAGCAAGAGAAACACTCGAGCACTAATTCTCACAAGAGAATATCCCAATGGTTCACAACCTAGAAAAATGGTACAGCTGTAGAACCATCAGAACTTATTGTAGTAATTTTTCTCAGACAGCTGAGTTTATCCTCAAGGGACTATTTGTACAATATGTGTTTACACAAAAACTAAATAATTATAGGGATAATTTATTATATTGAAAAATATACATATCCAAGGTTGCGCAATTTCATGCTAATGTTAGAGGAAAATGTCTTGTAATCATTTATAAACACAATTACAATGTTATATTAATACATTATTGTTTTATTATGACAAATGCATATGTACATTCCATAAATATATCATATACTATGTAGCTATATATAATAAATTATTATCAATATGATTTGTGGAAAAGGACATAGAAAAGGCCTTCCATTAAATAATTATTTGTAATTCCCACATACTAAAAAGGAACTAAATTTCTGAGAATAGATTTTGAAAGGTCCTATTCAAAAAACACAGTTGAAAATTCACAAAATATAGACAGATGCTATACATAGATGGATTACAAATATCATATGAGAGTGAAAGGAGACACACATAAAAATGCATGCTGCATGATTCCATTGATATACACTCCAAAAATAAACAAAGGTGTTCCACATTATTTAAATTGGCAGGGGTAATGGAGGCTTTAAACTTCTCTTTTTTGCTCAAATTTTAATTATGTGATTCCCACTACTTTGTGAACAAGTTGCACAATCATATTTTAAGTTTCTTGATGTGTTGTAAAATTAAATAATAAAGTCATTTCAGACAAAAGAGCTTTTATGAAAGCATGTTTTCTATGAAGAGCACGAATTGGAAATTATTAAGTGTACATTAAAGGTATGAAAATGTAAATAAAATATCGTGGAATCAAACTGTGGAATAGTAACAGATTTTAAAATAAACTAAAAATATGTACAAAAATATGGATGAACTCTACAAATATAATATCAACTGATAAGCTTTTATTAAATCTAAAAACATTTGAAATATTATCATTTCCTCTTTATCATCAATGTTGATCAGGGTAGAGTTCTTGAAGTACAACATGTCAAACTCTCGTTTGATGGTTTTCTTTCAATGCTAATGTAATAGCAATTGTTGAAATAAGTAAACCATCCTTTTGGACAATGGCCACAATAATGTCCTGGAGAAAGATTATGACATATTATCCAAAAAGTTTTGAATATTAAAACATGCAAATGTACAACCTGCATTTGTATACACAGATGTATATATCATATCCATGCACCCTTATAAGCTTGTAAAAATAAAATGAAACCCGCACATATATACTCTCAAAAGAGTTGGGCTTTTATCCCCAAATTTATATGCCCAAATAAAGTAAACCCACAAAAATGTCCATCTCTACATGTCCCTTGAGTCACTGAATAAAACCACTTTTTTGGAATTGTTTAATGACTCATCTTTTATAGTATTATAACAGGAGTAAATTTGAGGCCATTGGAAACAGTGGGTATGGAGATTATTATTTTATTTTAATATTTATTTATTAATTAATTAATTTATTTATTTTTTTATTTGAGATAGAGAGAGAGAGAGAGACAGAGAGAGAGAGCATAAACATGAGGGACAGAGGGAGAGGTATATAGAATCTCAAGCAGACTTTGCTCTCAGCCTGGAACCCAATGGGGCTCAAACTCAGGACCCTGGGATTATGACTTGAATCAAAACCAAGAGTTGGACACTTAAAAGAGCCATCCAGGAACCCCAGGTATGATCATTATAAACGAGTATTTCCTCCTATTATAGCATAAGAAATAATATTGTTCTATACTCATGATTTCTGAAAATTTATTATGTGATTTTCTACTTAATTTACCCCAAAAGAATCTTTGCCTAGCTTAAGACGGAGATAAAATACAAATTCTACTAGTATATGAGGTTTGAAAGTGATAGTGTACCTTTCTGGGTCGTTATTTCCAGGGAAGTGTTATTCCGCACTGGTCCTTCAGCAGCTAGAAATATTAAAGTAATGCTCATACAAACTTAATATTAAACTAAATAAATCATAATGATTTGAGTTTCTTAGTTTAAATTTGGTGTATTGTTTAAAATTAGAAAACTCTGGAATAAAATTGATTTACCTGTAAAAGTTTAATAAAATGATGAACACATGGGGGAAAATGATAAATATATGGGGGAAAATAATCCGAAGCTCTAAGAACCAAACATCACCATTTCTTAGAGTATTTCGTTTAGCCAATCTCAATTTATTTATATTTCTCAATAAGGTCTCTCCTATAACTTGCATTTGAGTTATGAAGTCTGAATATATGTCTGATACTCTCTACAGTGATACCCTTACTTCTACTTTTGACAAATTTGAATTCAGAATAACCATTCCACACTTAGGGCATATATGCATTAAAATGAGCTAATACAATTCCATAAAGTTCTGTAATATTTTGAGACACTGGTGATCATCAAAGGGAAAAATTCCCTTGTAGTCATTCAAATACTCACAGAGAATACCAGCTATTGTAATCACAGTGGACATCAAGACAAGGCAGATGATTCCCAGGATTCCAGCAATGAGCTTCCTTGGACATGATGATAAATAGTGGAAAGAGAAATGAAAACACTGACAAAGGATGGATGGGAATAATCATTTAGGAAATTTACATACAAGGGAACCAATGATGCACAAGGAGTCACATATAAATGCATGGCCCCCAAACCTTGCATCTACTCCTGTAATCTTCTCTCAGAATATACCGTTGCATTTGCAGTAAATATATTACCCCATGAGACGTGATAAAGACCATGAATTACAACACTTGAACAAGGCTCATCCTCAGATTTCAACTACAATATTATATTCCTGCTCCAAGCTCTGATCCTCACAAAAGAAAAATATGGGAGATCATTTCGTACTCATACCCTCCACTCCAGCACCCAAAGAACACATCCTAGAAAATTATACTGTGTGTAGTGAATGTTTTACCTTTGCAGTGGTAGTTCTTGCCATCCCCTTGAAGATCCTGAGAAGCATTTTGAAGATTTAATTCTGCATAGGTTATTTCCTGCTCAGTTACTGAAGTGGAACACTTAGTGCCCTTAGCTTTCATTTGCTGTCTTTTTGAGTCCTTAGCATGATTGAGCTCTGCATAGGTACCTCCTTGGTTATGCATGTCTGCAACTGCATAGTGGCAGGCGCAGTGCTGAGCGGAACTGTACTGAAGGACTTGAAGAGTGTATGTAATGACAAGACTGCTAGGACAGTGACACTGGGTGGAGTGTGGGGTGAGTGATTTCATTTGCAGTTGAGCAATGCAAAATCTGGTGCTAATTTCCTTAGAGCTTTAAAGAAGTGTTTCATGATAGAATAAGTGGTTTCTACAATGTTATTCTATGTTTGACACAATAGTATTGGTTGGAGTAATGTAAAGTGAAAATTAGTGAAGAAAGGAATTCAGGAATAATATTGTCCTTCTTAAAACAAGGTCAGAATCCGCAGAAACACGTCAACATTATTAGAATAACAGGGTTAATATTGAAATGCTGTATTAGAAAGAAAATGCTGCACCAGTATTTCTGACAATTTTTAAATGCATTATTGGTTAAAAAATTGAGTGCCCTAAATTAAGGAATACTAGTTTTGGCATATAAGGAATTTCCTATAGTAAATGACTTTTAGTTGAGGACTTAGATTTCTTTCCTAAAAGGTAACGTTGTGCCATCATGTGACCATTTATTTTGAATAATTGTGGAATTCTGAGAAATCATTATATTTTAAAAGAAATATTTTATATGTTGAAAAATGTTATGACACAATAAATTTATCCCAAATCTGAACAATACTGAAAACAAAAACCAAACAAATTTTTTGAAAAGTATTTAACACCAGAAATTGATAGCTGATTTAATGGCAAACATCTGAAACCATAAAATGATAAAATTGTAGATCATTTAGGGTAGAACACTGTTGGTACAAACTTCCAGAAAGATCTTTGAATGTCAAAAGCATAAGGGTAGCTTGTATAAGGAATTCTAATAAATGAAGTTAATGCCATTTCATAATTCAGTCCATGCGTTCTGCAGTCAGTGAAATTTGGAATTACTCCTGACTCTCTGATTTACAAAGTATGACTTCTAAAATATTCCTTCCTGTCTAGTTTATACTAATCTAAAATGGGAATTAAAATATGTAAAATATAATGCATATAAAACACTATTCCATCTGGATTTTCTAAGCTCTTAATACTGTATTAGTTATTTTAAGTACTTTTAACACAATATTCACATCACCATTACTGATTCATATCCTTTGGACATGTAACATAAGTCATTAGATAAGAATGTCTTTCAGTATTAAATATCTTTCTTTGCCAATTTTGATCAGTTTTTTAAAAAGTCTTTTGATTGTTGCATACTTTGTTAGCATTTTCAGAAGATCCCTCATCTTGCTTTTCATGAAAAAATCAAACTTCTTTTATATATCAAAGCAAATGTATGAGAAATTAAGTTTTACTTTTAGGATTTGGTGATTCACTTTCTTTAAGATTTTATTTATTCATGAGAGACAGAGAGAGACAGAGGCAGAGACATATACAAAGGGAGAATCAGGCACCCTGTGGGCAGTAGGACTTATTCCCAGGACTCCAGAATCACACGCTGAGCTGAAGACAGACACTCAAGCATTGAGCCACCCCCGTGTCCCTGATGGATTCATCTTAAGAATCTATTTTTCTTAAGTATTTGTTTAAATTCTAGTTGGTTAACACATAGTATAATATTGGTTTCAGGAGTAGAATTTAGTGATTCATCCTTTACACATAACGCTCAGTGCTCAGCAGTACAACAGTCTTTCTTAATACTCATCGTGCATTTAGCCCACCCCTGTCCACCTCCCCTCCATCAACCTCCAGTTTGTTCTCTATAGTGAAGAACATCTCATGGTTTGCCTACTTCTCTTTTTTTCTCTTCACCTATGTTCATCTGTTTTAAGAATCTATTTTAAATATGAGCTAAATATCAAATAATATATGTAATTCTATCTAGATTGATGACAAATCCAAAATTAACTGTTCCTTGTCATGATGCTTATGGGATTTCACTTGAAATTCTATTGATTTGCAAACATAATTATGCATGTGTAAATGCACCTAATTACTTCTCCACAGGCAAAAATTTGAATATTTTAAGAAATTCTCCAACGTATTTCCTATTCATTCCTGTCTGTTACCCTGAAGTTTTGGAATAAAAATGCCAATGTTCTCTGCCATTTGATTATGTATTAGTTGTACCTCAGTTGCATCCCATCCAGCATTTGTATCTCCTACTAAATGAGATGGTTAGGAAGAGAGACAGGGCAGTGCAGACACATACCTTCTGTTGGCCAGAGGGTAAGGCATCTTCCAGTAGGAGACCAGGTTACTCTTATAAATAGACACTAACTGTGGTCTTTACAGACTGCAGGCCCTGTGAGAGCTCAGAGTGACCCAATAGTGGAAAAAGTAGATTTCTCATCACTGTGTCACTTAGAATTGGAACAGGAAATTCTTACACTTGGGCTATTTTGAAGACACTTTATCTCATCACACACCTCCAGAATGTACACACTTTCAGTCTGTAGTGTGTCATTTATTTTGTCCATTGGCAAGTATCTCTGAGAAGCTTTTGTGTTCCAGAAGGTATTGGGATCAGAGCCTTGGCGACTCAGGCTGTTAAATGACTTCCATCTGATCAGAAACACTGAGAATTAGGCCTTCTGAAAAATATCTTACATGAAAAAAAAATATCTTACATGTCTAAGTTTTACTTTTAGATAAAGTTGCTGAATTTTCCATTACATGCTTCTTGTTCTTATGTGCTTGCTATGTCATTTGCAGAGGGAGAAGCAGGCTCCATACAGGGAGCTTGATGTGGGACTCGATCTCGGACCCTAGGATCACTCCCCAGGCTGCAGGTGGCGTTAAACTGCTGTGCCACTGGGGCTGCCCCCTGCCTTAGTTTTTAATAGACCTGTAATCAATCTCATTACTTGTAAAAAAGTTATTTATATTTCTGCTGATAAGAACAAAATGCCTGTGGGAAGGACACAACATTGAATAATACAGACCAATAGCACCATGAAGGAGGTTTGAATTCTGAATAATTACTCCTACTACTTATGGAGTCATCCTCCAATGACAACAAGTTGCCTCTATTATAATAGTAATACTTGTTTTCAATGAGATAAGCCTAGGTCTAATGAAGTACTGGGAAAATTAATGTAATTTTTGAAAATTTTACTTAACTGAAAAAACTGCGCGAGGACAGCAAAGGTACTTTTAAAACACAATTAGATGATACATGAACAGGGGCAGCCCCGGTGGCGCAGCGGTTGGGCACTGCCTGAAGCCTGGGGTGTGATCCTGGGGACCCGGGATCGAGTCCCACGTCGGGCTCCTTGCATGTAGCCTGCTTCTTCCTCTGCCTGTGTCTCTGCCACTTGCTCTGTGTGTCTATGAATAAATAAATAAAATCTTTTTTTTTTTAAAAAAGATGATATATGAACATCCACAGAAATAAAGCATTAAATCTAAATTACATAGTTTGCATCAATACAATTCTCTTCCATTTTTTACATTGTTGGATTTAACTTGTGAATAATTTTGGAGAATAGTTGCATGTATATTTCTATTGGTCTATAAAGTTCTGGGATTTATTGCAAAATTAGGTGACAATTTTATTTTTATTTTTATGTATTTATTTTTAATGATGTACAGTTGACATACAATACTATAGTAGTTTTAGGTGTAGACATAGTGATTAAGTATTAATACACATTATGGTATTATCGTGATAAAACTCAATACCATGTCTCCATACAGAATCAATAGTGTTATTGATTATATTCTCTATGCTGTAATGTACATCACTGTGACTTATTTCTTTTATAACTGAGAGGTTGTACCACTGACTTCTTTTCACATATTTCAGCCCTTCCTCCTCCTCTCAGCCCTATAGCAATCAAGCACTCTTTATATATAAAGTCTGCTTCTGTTTTGTGTGTTTTTAGATCTACATCACCAGTTTAATCATAGAGATTTTGCTTTTCTCTGTCTGACTAATTTTGTTTACATAAAACTTGTAGGTTCATCAATGGTGTCAAATATGACAAAAATTTCATTATTTATATCTGATTAATATCCCATAACACATATAGTATATATATATATATAGACATATATATATCCCATCATATATATATGTGTGTGTGTGTATAGGATATATATATATATATATACATATATATATATATATATCCTACTTATTCATTCATGTATAGATTTGATGACAAATGGGTTGCTTCCATATCCTGACTATTTTAAGTAATACTGCAATAAATAGAGGGTGCATACATCTCAAGTTAATGTTTTCATTTTCTTCAAATTGATACCCTGAGGTGAATTTTCTGGATGTTCCACTATTACCATTTATAATGTTTTGAAAACCTCCATACAGTTACCCATCATGACAATATCACTTTAGTTCCCACTAACAGTGCACAAGATGCCCTTTAATCCATATCTATGCCAATATTTGTTATTTTTGTCTTCCATTCTGACAGGTGTGAGGTGAGATCTCATTAGGGCTTTGATTAACATTTTCCTGAGGATTAGTGATGTTGAATACCTTTTCATGTGTTGGCCATTTGTATAACTCCTTTCAAAGAATATCTATTCAGGTCCATGACCCATTTTTTAATCCTTTTTTCATATTAATTTGGGTGTTGAGCTGAGGAGTTCTTTGTATATTTTGAATATTAACCTCTTGTCGGATATATAATTTGCCAATATCATCTTACATTCAGTAGGCTGCCTTTTTATTTTGTTGGTGTTTCTTTGGCTGCACAAAGCTATTTGAGTTTGACATATCATTTTTTTTTTTCATTTCATTGTCCTTCCCTAAGGAGACACATCCAAAGAATAAAGTTAAGCCCTCTCTCCAAGAACTTAATGCCAATGGATTCTTTGGGAATTTTATGATTTCTGGCCTTCCATCTGGTTCTTTAACTCATTTTAGGTTTATTTTTGTGTATGGTGTGCAAAAGTAGTCTAGTTTTATTTTTTAGCACGTATTTTTTGTTTTTTTTTAAACAACATTTAGTGAAGACTCTCATTTCCCCATCTTCTGTTCTTGCCTT